CACCCTCTTGGGCGCGTTCCCGAACGGGGGGCTGATCCGCCGGAAGGAGGTGGCCCTCAGCACCCTGGACTGAGCATCTTTGATGCTGTTCCTGTAGGCCCTATTGAACGACGTGTCCAGCTGCGACCCGTGCGCATCCTGGATGTTATCCTTCCAGAGGATCTCCTTCTCAGGCTCGCCTCCCAGCTGCAATGTGCTCCTACTCCGAGGAAGCTGAGGCGCCCTTATTTGCACCTCGTTCTCAGGACACAGGCCATAGTACTCGCTGGGTCTTGCCTGCTTCACTGCAGCCACCATCTGCAGCTCGACGGGGCGCCAGTCAGCCTCTTCCAGCTTCCCGTTCCTGATGGAGGGGCTGGAGCCCCTGCCTGGCTCACCGGGCAGCTTGCTTCTCATGTCCTCTGGGCTGTGCACAGAGCACCTCATGCCAGCAGGCTGGCTCGTCCTGCTCGGCCCATAGTGCTGGCCGAAGCTGGGAACGCCGGCGCTCTGGGGCCGGGGAGCGCTCTGCTCCCGCTGCTCAAACTTGTTGACCTTCTCCAGCACTGAGCAGCGGGACTTGCCAGCCTCTGGTTTGCTGTAGGGAAAGCTTGGGGTGCTGCTAGAGCTGAGCCGGCTCCTCCCGAAATCTGAGGGCTTTGGGAGCTGAGGAGAAGGGGGCTCTTTGCACTTTGGCTCAGCAGCATGGAACAGAGCCATGCTCGTGCCGTCCTCCTCCTGCCTCGTGAAGGCCTGGGAGTCCACATCACTCCACTGTCTGTGCCCCTGCTCTCTGTGATCCTTCTCCTCTCTGCTGCTGCTGTTCAGGAAGGACAGTCTGGTGCTGGAATAACCCTCACCTGGTTGTGTCTCCCTTAGGTCAGAGCTGCTTTGCCTCCTGGAGCTCTCTGGGATGTTCTGTAAGGAAGAGAAGCCATACTGCTTGGCCTTGCTGTGACCCCATGGGTGGGCAGCACCAGTGTCTCTCTCGTTTACCTGTGTGTTACCATTTTTCTCCTCCTGGGATCCAGGTGTCCAGTCCTCGTTGGGCTGGTAATGGTTTTTCCTCTCACTAGCATCCCTCGGCTGGGGTTGTGGACCCTGGAAAAGGGGCCTGGAGGTCTGTGTGGTACCGGTGGTCTCTCGGTGGCTGTGTGCTGCCTTGTAAAGGGGCAGCAGCTCCTCCTTCCGCGACACAGCCGGGCCGAGCTCCGGGCCCGCTGCGCTGGGAGGTTTCTGCTGGATGAGTTTGGCTTCGTGCTTTCTCTCAGTGGCAGGGGGCTGGTAGAAGATGGTCGACCTGTTCGTAGTGCTTTGGTTTCCATTCTCATCCAAGGGCAGGGTGCCGCCGGCCTCGGCCTTGTCGCAGGAGGCCGGGAGGGCTGGGGAGTAGCCGCTTTCTTTGGCCAGAGCGGGGTAAAGCGTGCCGGTGCTGCCGGCGGAAGGCCTGGGCACCTGGGCGTAGTGCGGCTCCGGGGAGGGAACGGCGTAGACGCCGGTGGGCAGCAGGGGCTGCCCTGGCTGGGCCGCCTGGGAAAAGCTCTGCTTGGCCTTCATGGTGGGGCTGCTCTCCGGGCTCTTCTCCACCACGGTGTGCAGGTGCCCTTCTCCGAAGGGCGGCTTCAGCAGCGGCCCCTGCGGCAGGGAGCTGACGAGCGGCGCCCAGGCCCCTTTGGGCTGGCCCCGGCCGGGCTTGCTGGGCTCAAGGCCGGTGCCCGAGCCGGGCCTCTCGTGGTGCCGGATGGCCGCGTAGCTGTCGCTGCGAGCGGGAGGCAGGGGCGGCTGGCTCTTGCTGTCCGAGGGGCCCTGCGCCGGCTGCGCCCAGGAGGAGGCGGCGTTGTGCCGGCCGAAGGCGTGGAGCCTGCCGTGGCCGCGGCCGTCCCCGCCGGGGAGCAGGGCCGAGGGCTTCACCTCGTACTCCTGCGAGATGCGCTGCTGCGCGTCGTAGACCGTCCGGACGTAGCGGATGTCGGCCTGCCGCATGCCCTCCGGCAGCCCCACTGCGGAGCACGAGGGCTCCTTGCCCGCCGGGGCCGCGGGGTACTCGGGGATGCTGGAGTTGGTGGAGAAGGAGCTGTAGGCAGAGTCTCTCTTGCTGTGCAGGTGGGAGAGCTGGTCGATGCTGTTGGTGGATTTGGCCGGGGACAGGTGGCAAGGGTGGTAGGCAGGGGAGGAGTGGTCCAGGCTCTCCATGCTGCCCCGGGAGCTGTACTGATCGGGGCTCCTCCTCAGGTAGCCATGCTCGTACGCCGAGAGATCGCTGGTGGAGGAGCTGGGGGACAGCGAGGGAAGAGTGAAAACCAGCAGAGGAGAGGCACAACGACTTATAAGTGAGCTCAGAAGCGAGATGTTTAGTTTTGAGATGAAAACCCATATTTGGGCCTTGCTCCATCCCCTGTCTGGAGTCATCCCAGTTCACAAAGAGGAACTGCTTGACATTGCAACACATGGCTCTTATTTACCACAGAAGGGTGGGAGGGAAATACAGACAGAGAGATCGTCCATCTCTGGAGCCAGGGAGGATCAACCCCACCCGGCAAACCCATCCAAAGCCCTCGGAAAGCTGAATGAGCACCGACGCCGCTGAGGAGGAGGAGGAGAGGAGCACGAGGGGCATTCTGGGGGGGATCTAATCTCTTTCTTTTTTTCCCAGTTCATTTCTTTTTATGGAGATGAAGGCTATGCCCTGGCAGGCTTCCTGGAAATTCAGCTGTCCCAAGGATAGTTTGTTTGCTGCGAGAAAACTAAGCTGACAAGAAGAGGAGAGATGGATGTGCCTGTGCCTGGAGGAAAGTGGGGTGCAACCACAGAAACAGTCTGAGAATTCCCAGGAAGTCTGCACTGCCACCTCTTCTTGTAGCTTAGCAGGTGCAGGTACACCTTGGCACTTCCTCTGAGGACTCACGGCCGTCAGAAAAGCGATCAAAAAAGAAGGATATTCAGAGATCTTTCTATCCATGGAAAGGAAGCTCTTTATGCATGTCACAAACTTCTGCAGAGTTTGCCCTGGCTAATCTCCCCTTCCAGATTTAAGCAAATACACTGAGGACTGGAGAGGGTAGCCTGAGGATTTCACTTTTCTTCCCTCTCTTCCCAGCTTCCCTTCCTCAGGTATCACTTTCTCTAGTTCCCTGTGCAACGACATGTGCTGTCCTGGCAGAGCCACAGGAAGCAGCAGGGAGGGACAGGCTGTGGCAGGGCAAGGCGCAGAGCTGGAAGCTGGCTCCAGATCACATCCCAAACAAGTGACAGACCCAGGGGAGAAGGGTGCTAAGGATGAGGAAAGGCAGGAGGAAGCCAGCTCACAGCAGCTCTGCAGAGAGATGCAGAGGAACACGGGCAGGAAGAGATACGGCAAATCTCAGGACAGAAGTGGTTTGCTCATTTAAATGCACCACTCTATACTGGATTCAAATAACCATCTCCCTGGCAATGCCCAGCACAGCCCCAGCCAGCTGGCCACTAGATGTTCCCCGTGCTCCTTCTCAAGCACCCAGGAGACAGAGCCATGCTGCCAAAGGCTCTGCCAGGAACTGCCTGGGAAGCAAAGCCCCTCGGTGGGAAAGGAGTGTGCTCCAGCATGAGCTGTGCTGAGGCCACAGACCAACACACTTTATTTTCTACAACCATCTCCTCACTTTCTTTAATGCTCTTTTTTCTCTTTCCTCTCCTCTGCCAAGGATCAGTCTAGCCAGCAGAAGAAAGTGATGTTTCAATCCCAGAGTCTATAATGGGGGTTTTCAAACCCTTCTGCCTCTCTGGGTAAAATCTTTCCAGGGCGGAATTTAAACTTGTCCTTCCTCAAGCTGCCCTGCACGTTCAGCTGTGATAGAGCTGACTCCTGCAGAAAGCCACTGCCAAAGCAGGAAATCCCTCCCTGAACTCCTCACCCTGGCAGCACTGCTGCTGATGCACTGTTGGCTGCTCTGTTACACTGACAGCTTCTGCCACTTACACCCTTTTCTTCCTTTTTGTTCAATAGGCCAACTTAGACTTTGGATTTCTGTTGCTTTGCTGGGGAAAAAACCATGCTGTGTTTCTGTATGGGAGATCATCCACAGAGAGCTCTACCACCATCCTGGCAGTGGGCTCCCATCTTTGTGGGAAGGGGGACTTCCTAGCTGCTAATCACCCCACAGAGCACTTATAGGAGGAAAACAAAGCCCCTTTATCTGGGAAACCAAACACGAACTGAAGCCTTCCTAACTCTGATCTGAACCCTGGCTGTGTATAAACCTGTCCAGGTGTATGGAGGTGACTGGTACCATTTTCCCACTACACCTTTGCCCCCTCCCTTCCCTCCCCAGCTGTGCAGTACTTACCTGGAGTGGTAGGACTGATGCCAAGGGGTGCCAAGCGTGCCCTGAGATATTTGCATCATGCTGGGATCGGGCTGGTTCTCCGCGAGTTTGCTGGAATGCCAGGAGTGAGGTCGGCCCGGCGTTTCGCTCCGCCTAGGCGAAAGCAGAAGGGGTTTGCACATCAGCAACAGGCCAGCTCTCCCCAGGAAGATGGATGTGACCTTAACACCACCATTTAAAACTGCTTGTGCTCATTTGTGCTCCCCTGCTGTGTTTCTGTCCATTCCAAGCAAGTCCCACAGGAACCACGTGTGAACGTCCCCACATTGCCACAACAGCTCCCTCCGGGATTTGCACAAGTCGCTGAATGCCATGAGGGGGTGGGAGCCTGCAAAGGGACTTTTGATCTCTCCTCGGGGCTGCTAAAAATGCAGGACGAGACGTGACACCCAAGTGCCAGCAATGCGTGTCCCTCGCATCCACCCCGGGCAGACAGCTGTCCCCAGGGTGTGTCCCCAGGCGTGGCACTGGCACAGCTGCCCTCTGGTGCCTTCAGTCACCAGCACCAAGGCCTGTGTCTGACAGCCCCGAGGGAAAAAAGCCCCACCGACACCTTATTTAAAGCACAGAGTGGTGCAATGGAAAGTCAAAGCAGGGGATTAGGGATCGAATCCCCTGAAGAGGCCACACAGACTCTCCTTTGCCCCAGCCTTTGGGCTTGTCCTTAATCCTCCTGCTGCTTTCCATGAGGGATCTCTCTCCCCTGCTCTAGCACTCATTTCCACAGTTTCTCACTCTCTCCCTGGGCCTGTGTCCTACTGACACGTGACAGCTTGCAGGACAATTCTGATTAAATAAATGCAAGAGGAGGATATGACACATCTTTAGTCTTTGTCTCACTGAAAAATCCACAGCACAGCATGTCCTGAACACATCAGTACACAGATTAAAATGCCCTTGGCACACAGACACTGAGAGCACTGCCTAAGATTGGTAAAAGGAACAGTACAGGAAAGTGCAAAAAGTTAAAAACGCTTTTTAGGGTCAGGTCCTTTCCCAGTATCAGTTAACATCAGCACCTGCTGATGTTGGACAGCATGGAAAAGCACAGGCAGAGAGTGAGAGGCAGAGCCATTTCTCCAGCATTTCTTCCATACAGATTTTACAAGTGCGAGGTTTTTCCTCGCTGTCTGCTCAAAGAAGGAAGAAAAAGGGACATGCTTTTCTCTTTAAGGTCTCTTGTTGCAGGATTGTCTTAAGGGAAACTGGACTGGAGGTCTGCAAAGGACAAGCTGAACCCAACACCACTTTACCTTTCCATGTGTAGGTGTGTTTAAGACAGAGCTCTTCTGCTAAGCTCCTTGCCCAGAAAACAAAGAACCTGGACACTGCCAGATGGGAAGTTGACAAAACTGTTTATTGAGAATAACCCACATTCTTACCTTTTCCTCTGCAGATTTTTAAAGACTGTAAATACTTTAGTGGAGTACAAGCCATCAGCACCAGTTTTTTGCTTGGGAAAATGAATGATCCTGTGCAAGGCATGTGTTATCCCTTGGTTTGATCAGCAGAAACAGTGAGGGAGCTGTGTAGCCAATCATCCGAGCCACAGGTATTTTAACTCTTTTGTCTGATATCCTTGTAATAATACCACACGTGCACAGCTGTGAATTTTAGTCACAAGACACATGGTACCAGCTTAGCAGCTCTGTGTGGGACAACCTTGCACTGTTTCCACACCTACCCTGTCTTGGAAATGTGGCAGATCCTGACTGATCCCAGACAAACTGGCAGAATGACACAACCTGCAATTGCAGCAGTTAATGCTGGATTTGAATGAAGACAAAAAAATAGTTAGATCTTTAACTGGGATTACTTTGGGGCAGCTAAGTTGCCTGCAACACAACCAGGAGCAACAGGTGACACTTTGGCACAGAAGGCTGTAGGATCCAAAACTGCAGAACTGTAATAACAACAACAATAACAAACCAACCTCATCACCTTATCTTTTACATATTCTCTACTGTACTTGTGAATGTGTCTGGACAGCCTTACTACCAAAAAATTCTCCTCTTCAAATAACAGACTAAGTGATCGCTGTGTTGTAAATGCCAAGGCTGGAAAAGGAAAAGGAGACTCCTGGTTCCTCGTGGATCCTTGCAGTGATCAGATAACTTGGGCATCCGGGTCAGGTTGGCACCATGACAAGTGCCTGGGAGTGAAGATACCTGGAGAAGTCAGTGGGATGTGATGCAGGGCTGGCATCCGAATGGAGCTGTAACCCAGGCTACAGACCAGGTACTGCCAGCTCACACTGGAGACTGAAAGTCAAAGGGAAAGGGATAGTTTTCATCTCATCCAGCTGCTGCCACCTGTCTGGCACACTGGGAGCAGTCTGGGCTGCAGGGACCACATCCACATCCCTGAGGCCCTCCCCAGGAACAGCTCTGCAGCTCGCCCTTATTGGCAGGAGCTGAGCGTGCTCTTCTCTGTAATCTCTGGAGATTATCTTTATACTGCATGCAAAACAGGAATGGAACTTTACAGAGACACTTTGGCACTAACTCGAGAGATGAATCAGCATCTGAGGCTTTCTTCAGAGTCTAACTGAAAGGTTATCTTCTCCTCAAGGTCACAAACTGAGAACATCCAGGAGAGTGTAGTCAGTCTGACTGCTGTTCTTCACGTACTGTTCCTTGCCTCTTCTGGAGTACACATAAAACCTGAGTGCTCTGCAAGTTCAAAAGTACCTCAAGCCCAGCATCCTTCAGGAGGTGCAGTCCATCTTCAACCAGAGCAAACAACCCAGCTTCTTCAAATTGCCATTTGCATTTTTTCCACATCCTTAGAAAGCTACTAAGTGAAAGCCAGAGAGGGATGTTGTGGCTGATTAACCAGCCACTCAGGGTCATCAGTGCCCCAATAAACTCATCTTTTTCTACTCCCACACAGCTCCTGGGGAGTTGTTTTCACCATCCTCACATCCATCAGAAACATCATCCAGGTGGCTTAGAAGAGAGAACTGTGAACAATGCTGCTTGTACCACTGACCTTGTGGTCATTTTTCTCTGTCCCCACAAGCTCCAAACCCTTCCTCAGCAGACAGAGGGAATGCTGAAGATAAAGACTGCAAAACTTTTCAAGGAAAGCAGAATCTACCTGCGGATCCAGGCAGGAGCAGAGGTCACCAGGACACACCTCCATGAGCTGAGGGGATGGCTCTGACTAGCAGCTGGTGTTCCTGTGTCCAGGGCAGATGGGATGGGGCAGAGAAGAGAGAAGGTCACTCTGCCATCGCTTACAGCCACAGTCCCTGTGGATGTGCGTCCCCCAGCAGCCCTGCACCAGGGGGCTGTGTGGGAGGCTGCTGGAGCTGGAAGGGATAGGCATGGCCTAGCCTATCACATGGGGAGGTGGGAAGGGATGGGGGTCCTGCAGCACAGATCCTCCTCCTGCAGGAGAAATGAAAGATTTGGATGCAGGTGCAGAGCTGGTGCCTCCTGGATCTGATCCCAGGCACTGAGTCACAAGAGAGAAAGCCAAGAGGGCAGCTGCCCATCCTCACCACGTCATCCTCACTGCAGTTGAGATTTCAAGCTGGTGATAACTCTAACCTAACAAAATCCACGTGGCAGGGGCACCACATCCTGAGCCATATCCTGTACGTGCAGCAGCAGGATCTTTGTACATGGAGAGATCCTGATCCCAGCAATTCACCCGTACCCTCCTTCCAGGGTGAGTGTGCACCTGCACCGACAGAAAGCAGAACAACATCTGAATTCTCACTGGGACAGACCTGGCTCCAAGACAGACACTGCTAAAGGAGCGGGAGCGTGACAAGGAGATGTTTTCCAGACATCCAAACGTGGCTGCAGCCTCTCTGTCCAGCTACTAGGCAGGAGACAGGAGATGAAGGAAAAAGTAAAGCACTCAGAAGCCTATTAGGATTTCCACAGAGCGAGGCCACAATCTACTCAAAGCAACGTCGCTCTTAATTAAGGTTCAGTCATGGTTCTAAAAATAAGCAGAACAGACGAGGCCAATTAGAAAGGAGTCGGACCAGAATGGCATCAGCTCGGTGTGTCTTTCACTAAATCTCTCTTTTTAGGCTCACTGAGCCTTTCTGGTAAATTCTGGGGCAGAAAGGATGTGGAGTGAGCTCTGTCCCTTCACAATTTTGGCTAAAAAGAAAGAAGACTCATTAAAAAGACCTGAAGTCTATGAAATGTTATTTCACGCCATGGATCTTGGCCAATAGTGTCTCCTCATCCACAGGGGAAAGGGAGAAACACGCCCACACTGCCCACCCCTTAATGCTCAGATGAAAACTTTCCCTGAGTAAAAAACACATGAAAAACCCTTCACTTGAGAGCAGCTGGGTGAAATGTGTCAATATTCTCAATATCTCATACCAGGACACAACCTGCTTTTCCACAAAATGTTCATTTTGCAGCTCCTGTGCCTGTGTGGTGTTTCCAGCTGACACGTCAGACACCATTTGTTTTTCCCCTTTGACAAACATCACTGAGGATGTCTGGGCTGCATCAGACCATGCCCTGGGTGCCATCTGGGAACTGGGAGACAGGCACCAATCTCCCTGAAATCTCTGAAGAAGGGAATCAGAAGTTTCTTCTCAGAATTCCTACCATTACTATCACAAACTCCCCACCATACCACTGGGGAGAAAATCCCTCTGTGGAAGCAGAGATGACAACCATGTGGATCTAGACACAGATTTTTTCCTGCAGGCTTTTCCTGACTGAAGTGCCCTCAGGCACAGGCTGCAGATGGAAGTGCTGGGATCGCTCAGAGGTGATGGCAGCTGTGAGCAACGGCGCTCCCTCCTTGAACTTAGGAACAGTCAAACATTGTAATTAATGATTATTGGTCCTGCAAGTCACACCTCTGTGTTATCACATATCTCTGGGAACCCCCACGCTGTCTTATCCAAGAAAGAGGCATTTATCTAGTGTCCAGCAAAGGAAACAAAGAGTGAGGGGCTGGCAGCCAGGCTGTGTGCTGCAGCTCCATCTTCCCTTCACCCCAGCACGGGTTTGACAGGCAATATTTAGATTGAGGACTTTTCCCTACACAAAGAAAGGGTCCCATGGCATTCCCTGACACTAACCAGACACAGGTTTCAACAGGAACAGAGGTGATGTACACAGACCTCACTCTTCCTGATTACTGAGTTCAAGGACTCTGCTGTTCCGGGATCTTCTGACAGCTTGCTATTTTGAAGACAGCATGATCAAGCAACAGAGTTTGATTTAAATTTCAAAACGAGGAGGATTTCAGATCTCTATTTTGAGAGGTGCTTGCCACCAAGATAGTCCATCTCTCACAGGACTGCAGCTTGGACATGGAGAAGCCAGGAGAGCCTTCAGCCTGGTACCTAGACCATGCATACAATGAGGAGCAGGAGAGCACTGGGTTAAAGGCTCTCTGCAACTTTCTTCTTTATGTAATTTTATTCTGCTTCCTTTACTGGAAAAAGAGGAAGAAAGAACAGACATGGAAAAGAAGCAGCTAACTGACTTAGAGTCTTTGAGGAGGATCCTATTATTCCCCGTCTTCTGCAGGGATTCACACTATCTCTCCCAGAGCAAGTGTGGAAAATCCCAACAGCCAGAGCCTGCAGTGGCTTCCCTGCCCAGAGCTCTTCAGAGCTGCACTGATTTATCCAGACTGATAAACTGGCCCACAGGCTCAATTCAATTAATTTTTTCTCATTCTTCTCCAGTCAGTAAATTAGTTAAAAAGACAGAAACCCAAGCATAGCTTAGATTCTTTCACCACCCGATACCCAACACACAGCAACTTGCAACAGGAGCGACTTGGAAACAATGGAAGGAATGTGTTTTCAGTGCCCAGGAGGAGCTGGGTGGCTGGCAGCAGGAACCCTGCCCCGTGAGCCCGATTATCCAAACGGAACGTGGACAATGAGGCTGGGCAGGTAACCAAGGGGATCTGCAGGGCAAGGCTCCAGGCAGCAGCTGGGCTCTCCCCTGAGCTGCAGGGCTGCAAATCACAGGCAACGCTCATGGGCTCCACATCCAAGCGTGGGCTCCACATCCAAGTGTGGGCTCCACATCCAAGTGTGGGCTCCACATCCAAGTGTGGGCTCCCCATCCAAGTGTGGGCTCCCCATCCAAGCGCTCCTGGAGGAGCCATAAATGGGACAGAAGCAGCAGGGCCTTCAGGAGGATGTGTGGAGGTACTTGCACACAGCTGGGGGGGTAACAGGGTGAGTCAAATGCGCCAGGGAACTGCACCCATTACCTGGGCCAAAGCAAAGGCTGCTGAGTCTCAAACACCCTCCCACAGGCACATTCTTATACATTAGAGCAGCTTCCTGTCTGTAACTAAAGCTCCAGCCCGGGTCAAACTGAGATTTGCAGCCACAGCTTCCAGTGCTGCTGGAAAAGTAAAGTTAAACACTGGGCTCTACACCCAAAGGCAAATTTATCCAAGTGAAATGCCAGACTTTGGAGTTTCTCTGAAGATCTGGTTCTAAACTGTTGGGCAAGAAGGATTTACAGAGGGCATATGGTGAATGACTCATTGTTATAGGGAGGTGGTGGATGTAGGGGAGCTCCTTTCCCAAATTCCCTGTGGGTGACATAACCTGAGGAAATGCAGAGTCCCACTCCTCAGTCAAAGATGAACTTCTCAACAAATCAGCTTGAGGAGATATTTCAGCCTCTAAATCTGCTCCATCCAAGGCTGGGCAGGGTCAGCATCCATGACTGCCTACAGTGGCCAGAAGCTGGAGCACCTCCACCAAGGTCAGGGAGGTTGCTCCAGAGATGCATCCTCGCTGATAAAATCAGAATGTGGAATTCCCTTCTCAGCTGCTCACTCACAGGCACTGGGCCACAGCTCCACCAGCTCCAGGAAATCAGTGTAGCTTCTTGACTTCAAATAAGCCAAGGTCTGACCCAAATGCAATGTTGCAAATAAAAGCCACTGCTTCTCCTTCACAGAACAAATCTCACAAGACTGAGACACAAAAATCTGTGAGGTCACCCAGACTATAGCTGACTGATGTAAGAGGTTCTTCTGATGCCAGCAAAAGCTCTGCCTGAGTAAATGCTGTAGGACTTGGTTCTAAACTGCATGGCCAAAGGAGGGGAGTCAGGCTTGGCCACACCAGCCAATCCAGAGCAGTTCAGCAAAGTGATTTCTGAATACATTTAATCATTCTAAGTTGCAGACGAGTGCTCAAAAGTCATGAATGCCAAACTCCCACTTAACCACCCAGACTCTGAAGAAGCCAGGTGATTTTGGAATGCCAGGCACCTGAAGTTGGGAAGTCAGAGAAGACTAACCCCACTAGTGTGGAGATATTTGGGTTCAGCATTTCTGATGACCTTCACCAGCATTGACAAAAGCTCGTAAGGAGAAATTTCAGCACTCCTTCCCCGCGAGTGCCCCTCAGGCACACAGGCAGCCAGAGCAGTAACTGTTTTCCACCCTGCCTTTGCAGAGGCTACAGGGACCCACATCAACACATTCTCACCTGGTCTTCAGCCGTAGCTTGACTCCTGCTGCCCACGTGGCTTTGCCGGGCTGCAGGTCAGTGGTCACGCAGTCCGGGCTGGGAGACAGCTCTGAGCATCCCTGTGCTGCATGGGTGTCCCTGCAAAGGAGAGCAAGGACAGGTAAACACCAGCACGCAAAACCTCAGCCCTTAGCCAACAGGATTTTGGGGAAGAGGGCAATGCACAGACCCAGAGGGCAAGGCACGGGCATCAGGTCATGTGTATCCTTGTTTTTCTCTACTCTGGGCAATGCTTGGCTCTGCCAGTGTCCCTCACGAGTGTTTTGGAGGAGCTGCCCAATCCCACGGCACACAGGAGTGAGATTAGCTCAGTACACAGGGCACAGAACTCATTATCCTGCAGCTGCATTTGGGGACACTAAATCCCCAGGTGTGGAGTCACGGGTTCCACTGTGGGATACGCTTTTTCCACATGTAACCACCTTATGAGAGCTCAGGGATTGCTCTGAACACACAAGAGAAAAGCCAAGAGAAAACTCCACACAGTGAGAGGGAGAAAGACAAACCTGTCCTACACCTCTGCTGATATCTCCACCGAGTCAGCAAACACATATTTACCCCGCTCCAAGTCACAAAAACACAATGCAACCATTGCTTCAGCTCCTTCCTTTCCTCTGGAAGGCTCCACTATTCCCACTTGCTCCGATTTTGAGCCCTGCAGCGCAGAAGGGATTTGAGACTTTGCTCAGTGAGCTCCCACGCCGAATAAAAGCGGGGCTGGAAGGCTCCCTGCGCCCTGCCTGGCCCGGCGTTAGCTGCAATCGCCTCTCGGGGTGCGCGGAGCCCGCACGCCGGCATCGGGGGCTCTGCATGGCTGAGATGGCTCGGATGCCATTCCACTGAGAGCCCGGCCTCCGTGCGTCCGGCCGGGCCTCCCCCGCGCCCCCACGTCCCCCGCAGGAATGTTAAGCCTCCCATTGCGGATGGGATACAGCGGGGATGCCAGCAGCACTTTCACCTCCACCAGGGAAAGCGACTCGTCAGGAGCGGCCTTTTGTTGCTCAACCTGCTCATCTTCATCCGATTTTTACCCCAAATCCTGCCTTGGCTGCCTTTTCTTTCCATGTGCCAAATCCCGTCCTGCTTTGTCTCTGCCACTCCTCTCTGAGATGATGTCAAGCCTCTGATCAAAATTGAAAGTTTCCCTTCCCTGTTCCCATTCCAGCCTCACTGTACACCAGAAGCACAATCTCTTTTCCTGCAGCCCTGGAAGTGTCAATATCCTTAAATGCTCTATTTCTTAGCTCACCAAGCTCACCATGAAAAATTACCAATTTCCAGAGGAGATTTCACTGCAAGACACGGAAAGGACAGAAGGCCTGCGAGAGGTGAGGATTTAAAAGATTGCATATAAATGATTTATCCTTACAAACAGGTCTAACAGTTTTGTGAGCAAAACATATTCCCCTAACTGAACACCTCCCCAAACAGGACCCCAAGCCCACACCTGCCCTTGCCTCACCTGGCTGCTCAGCCCAGAGCATTTGCTATGGCATTCCTAAGGAAGGCAGCTCCTTAGGTCTAACAACCAGGAGGGTGTTAATCTCTGCAAAGACACTTCTTCCACCACTACATGGAGACAGCCACTCTTGTGCAAAGCTGTTGGGGGCCTACCTTTCCTCTTGGCTGTCCTCACTCCTTCTCCTCAGAGTGGCCCCTCTCTGGAAGCTCCAGCTCCCTGTGGCAGCGCCCAGCCCGATGGGATGCTCTTAGAGCCTGGGGCTGCATTTTATTTTGGGATGTTTCAAAGGGCTTCACAATTCCACAGCCAAAAAGTATCCCTGGCAAGGAGGGGCCTGCAGTTGTTCTTTTTGTTATCATGCTGTTTCTAAAGCTCTCAAGTGGGAGACAGGAAACCCAGCACACACAGTCTATTTAAAACTCCTTTACCTCCCACCTGAGGCTGGCAGCTGCCTCTGAAATCTTTCCTTTTCTGCAAAGTTCGTGTTTAATTATGAATTGTTATTTATACTTGCTGCTTCCATGGTGCCTTTGGTATTTAATACCACACATGTCCATGAGGACACACTGCTCAGCTTTTCCCTCATCTAAAAATATGGCCTGCTTGAATTTTTTCCTTGCTGCTTGCTTGACAGTGAAAGAATACAGTGCTAGAGATTAAGGGCTTTTTTCAAGGAAAACCTCCTTCAGAAGTTTCAGTGCCCCCTCCAGAAGAGAGGCAGAACCTCCTGACCCCACATCCATCTCTCCCCACACAGCCAGCACGGCCTTTCCACAGCAGGCATCTGCGAAACTCTCCCTCCTTCTCACCACCTTCCTCAGAGCTCTTCAAGAGCACATGGGTGGCCTTATTTTACATTAATCAACTCCCCAGAAGACTGGTTTGCCAGCTGCTGCCATTGGGCGTCTCCTGAGCCCTTGCAGAACTCGGTTGCTGTTTTGGGGAGATCCTTTGCCTCTGAGCCGGGCTGACTCCGAGCTCCTCTGGCCCCTTATCTGCTTCCCATGCTGACCTCCTGTTACCTGCGTGCTTGGAACGTTTCACAGCACTTATCTTAACCTTTGGGGCTCCTGGCTCTTCCTCCTCACTTTCTTCAGTCTTCCTTATCCTTATTTACAACCTTCACATTCCAGCACAGATCAGTTTTCTAAAGTCAGCCTGGACAGAAAGTGTGGGTGGGTGCCCCTGCCCAGCAGCTCTCCTGACAATTATCAGAGTCTGCAGAGATCATATTCTTAATTAATTAAAGCCCATGTTTCATAACAATAGCTGCCTGAGTAATGGCAGCAGCATAAATCACTGCTCTCACTGAGGAAATGATGCAGTGCAAGCTCAGCTGCCTGGCTGTAATTCCCAGAGAGGAGACAGACTTTGCACAGGGAGGCGGCACAAACCCAGCTTGGGAAGTTTTGTCTGCCCATAGCATTTATTTTCCAGGACAACAGTGTTACAGTTCTTCTGGCTGCACTACATCCTGCACTCTTGGCTTAGCTGCCTGTAGTTCCAGGGATGAGTCCTAGGATATGCCTGAGGCGAGCCACAAGCAGCACCTGGAACTATGTGAAGAAATTATTTAATTTTTTAATAATTTTTCAGAATTGGTATATTTTAATGGTTCCTCCTCTTGGAGCCATGATTGCTGAGTCTAAGCCAACACCTGATGTGCTGCCACAGTAATAGATGGCCTGAGTCCCACAGGATCCAATCCCCAAATGTTAACAGGTTTAGTAATTTTTAGTATTTTGTTACCTCTAAATCCAGTGTTTTTCTGGAAGAGAGGATGGAGATTAAATTCTCTTTTTTAAATCATTTGGGATGAACAGGAGTATTTGTAACCAGTGACAGAATTAAAAGCCATCCTAGAAACACAGGTGCTCACACAGTGATGCTTCTGAAACTGAGATTAAAGCAAGGACCTCTTCTTACAACTTCTACAGCTATTTGTAGAGATTTCCTGATATTCTTCCCTTTGTCTTAAATCAGAACCTAAGAGGAAACCCCCCTCCACTACAGAAGCAGCCAACAGCACATCACAGACACAAAAATACAGAGAAGCACCAGCAAAGCTGAGCTGGGCTCCGACAGGCAGCAAGGAGCCAGAGGGGTTAATGCTGCTGGTTTATCCTCATAGCACCCCAGGTTACACAATGTCACAGGGCAGCCTGAGATGCCCAGCTCAGCCCAGTGACATAAGGAGAGCTGGGCAGCCTCACCTCTGGCCATCCTCATCCCGCAGGCAAGCTCTCACAGCTGCCCAGCCGGAATTACGGCTCCTGGGCTGCAAACAGCATCTCCACGGCAGTGCCCATCCTTCTCCTGGCAAAGGACGAGCCCTCCTGTCTGCTCCCTGCTGTCAGGAGGGGGATGCAGAGCAGGGGGACACCACAGCCATGCCAGGCACCCACCTGGGCTGTTGCTGTCCTGCTGGGCAGATCCTCCCGCTCCGACCGGAGTGCTGACGTATTTCGTATTTTGTTACCTCCTGTGGCTGGCCCAGAAATAGCCTGTAATCCACAGCTCTGTCACGCTCCCAGAATCTCCCTGAGCTGCACTGCAAGTGTCCCTGTGTCACAGCACAAAGGCCCAGGGGCTCTCCTGCTAGCAGCAAGGCCTGCGCAGGTTTGTTACTCTGCGCACAGGACCCCCAAGCCACACCAAGACCAGGAGGAAATGTGTGGACAAAACTTACCATGAAAAAAAAATGTATAAATTGCACCAAAACCTCCTACACTAATAACCTGTAAAACCTGTGCCAGAAAAAGTCTCAGTCCTTGGATAAAAGCTCTAGCTTGTGACTAACAACATTCACCTGAGATGGGGAACAGCCAGGTTTAACTCCACAGTCTTAATTAGGCACATGAGGAATTCAAGACTGGTTCATGAATCCAAAACGCAGCAGGCTCCACCTGTGTAACTCCTGGAAGCACATTTTCATCATAAGCAGAGCAAGACTCCTCTCAAATCTCAGTAAGGCTCACTGAGCACATGAATCTTGGGACTGAATTAGGCATTCGTCCCTGAGATCTGCAGCAAGGTCCAAGTTCTCAAGTAGAAACAATAATATCCATGTCTAGGATTCAGATTCAATAAAACCCAGGGAAAGAAACCCACACAACCCAAACCCATTCACAGCGCTGCTGGCTGCTGCTTCTAAGAAACAGGACTACTTAATGCACATTTTCTGTACACATCACAAGCACATCTATCCTGATATCTGGTAAGACAGGATTACTAGAGCTGATCTTTGTGCCATAAGCCAATCCCAAAAGAGAAAATAATTTTCCCAGGAACAGTGCAGAGGGGCTTGTGCTTTTCTACCTGCACAAGCCATTGTTCAAAGGCAAATTAAAGGAATCACAGGATGGTGAATTTTAGATGGGTCCATCCCCCCATTCAGGCACCCATCACTCTCAGTCTTATGGCTCCTACTGGAGATTCCGAGCATGCAGGATTTCAGGGCAAAGCAGGAGAGGCTGAGAAGTCACCTGGAACTTATCCAGACTCACAGCTTTCCTTCTCAGAGGGCTCTTCACTCAGGCAACTCCAACTTAAACAACCTCAATGCGCGCTGACCTTCAGGGCCACCGAGAAAAAACTCTGGAGAAAGGAGACCACT